TCAAAAAAAAACTAAGATCATGGCCACTGGTCCCATCACCTCCTGGGAAATAGAAGGGGAAGATATGGAGGCAGTGACAGATTTTACTTTCTAGGACTCCATGATCACTGCAGATGGAGACAGCAGCCACGAAATTAAAAGACGCTTGCTTCTTCGGAGGAAAGCGATGACAAACCTTGACAGCATCTTAAAAAGCAGAGACATCACCTTGCCAACAAAAGTCCGAATAGTCAAAGCTATGGTTTTTCCTGTTGTGATGTATGGAAGTGAGAGCTGAACCATAAAGAAAGCTGACGGCCGAAGAATTGACGCTTTTGAATTGTGGTGTTGGAGGAGGCTCTTGAGAGTCCCCTGGACTGCAAGGAGAACTAACCTATCAATTCTAAAGGAAATCAATCCTGAGTGCTCACTGGACGGACAGATCCTGAAGCTGAGGCTCCAATACTTTGGCCATCTCATGAGAAGAGAAGACTCCTTGCAAAAAACCTTGATGTTAGGAAAGTGTGAAGGCAAGAGGAGAAGGGGACAACAGAGGATGAGATGGTTGGACAATGTCATCGAAGCTACCAGAATGAATTTGACACAACTCCGGGAGTCAGTGGAAAATAGGAGAGCCTGGCGTGCTCTGATCCATGGGGTCACAAAGAGTCGGACACGACTAAATGACGACGATAGAGTTTTTTAAATTAATTCCAAGCCTATAAATCATTAGAATACTGAAAATACATATGCTATCAACTATTTATTTTAGGAATGAAATATACATGAAAGGAAGGAAATCTGTCAAAAGAAGATTATTGCTGAGAGCATAACAACTTAGATACACACAAATTGAGCAACAGAAGATTAAAGCAATGACCAGGTGATAAGGAATGCTTAAGGTTCCACACAGTAAGACAGAAATTACATGTATAGGCTGAGATGGATCAGGACATTTGAGGTTTCACTTTCCACTAAAGAAAAGTGCAGATGAGTATTTTAAGCCTATGCCAAATGTATTTCCCATTTTCATGATAGGTTTTAGATTATAACAAAAAATACAAAAACATCAGTGCCTACGAAACAATTTTGCAGTTTCCTTTATTATGTTATCTAAATTAAGTTTAATCTGAAAAACCTTCAGCTTCTCCATTGTTCAGATTCTTCTTTACCTTATTTATACAAGCCAAAATCAACAGCCCCTGATAGGCTTCTTTATTATTAAAAGGGGTTCAAGTGGCCTAAAGAAAATTTCATTCATGCTCATGGAATAAGCCGAAAAATAATTAATGACCATGTCTGGGTGAGGCTGTTTTTCCCGAGTGCACCTTGAGACATAAAAATCTGCAGAATCTAGCTATGTGGACAGATGTCTTGCAGAAACTGAACATCATAAAACAAAAAGCAAGAAATCAACTGAATAAACATTTATTTCACTGGTGGAAGAGATACACAAACTGACACTGGCCACCCACTATGACACAGAAACTAGCACAACTGCCATTCTTTTAAGCAGCACTCTGATCTAATGGCAACAAAAACAACTCATAGAGAGCCCCAGGACCCAAGAAAAACAAATATATTTGCTCTGAACAAAAGTGCTGTGAGATATAAGGTGCGATATACATCAAAGCCAAATATATGTCAAATTCTATCCTACAAACAAGCAAAGGTGGAAGCCTGCAGTATCAGTGTTTGCTTTACATCTCTGCTAGTCCTTTGATGGCAAACTAATTTCACTGGAGGCTATTAGAGTTTAAAATCAAAGTAACCACCTGTGAAGGATAATAGTCCAAACCTTTCCTTTCTTTTTACAGCAGGGTTTCTAAACCAAACATCTGTTTTACAATGATGGGACACGTTTGGTTTCAGAAGTCTGATGCTACTTACATGTGCTGCATTATTTCCAGTGTTTATTCCTACTATCATCCATGCAAAGCAGCAACCATCAAAGGTTTAAGTTTCTGTTTCTGTTTGTACCGTCTAGCAATTCTACAGACCTTTGCTAGATGATCTTGTTAGTTTCCCTGAACTTAGAAACACTTTTTTTTTATTTCTGTAGGACAATCACTTTAGTTTGTGGCAGCAGAAACAATGGGGCACTTTGAAGGCTAACAACATTATTATGGCTTAATGTTCTGCGGACTACAACACATTATAATCTATCAGATGAAGTGGGTTACAGTCCATGAAAATATCACCAGAATATATCTATTAACTTTCAGATACCACAAAACTGCTATTTTCATGTGTTTTAGAGGATATGGAACTCAACAAATGAGGCTTTTCTGCCAGGAATGCTGATCTAGAATCACATTGCATCAAATCTAAAAAATTTCAAAAATTTGATGCCAAGGGATATATTAAAAAGTTATGTCACTAAGTGGAAGGAAACTGTTCTTATACACAACTACTTGCCAGTTTTAAGTGTCCAACACAGATTTTAACCTAGCTATAAAAGTGTCTGTAAGCACTAAAAAATAAATGCTTGTTCTCTGGATAAGCTGAGTGTAGAGAGATGGTACAAAGGAGACTTTGCATATACTTGTTACAAGACCGATAAGCCCTAGACAAGGCATTTAAAATTCTCTTTGCTCTCCTTCCATGACAACAGATTTTGTATAACATAACTTATCAGAAGTGGTACTTAACTCTGAGAGTAGCAGCTTTCCTGACAAGAGCCATCAAAAGTCAAGAATTATCCACAATGATAAAAATAATCAAGCAAACATCTTAAGGCTGTCTGAGACACATTCACTCATTTAACTCATGCAGCGGTTTTCCAAACACATGCCCTTGCTCCCCTGCATATAAGTATGTTCATTGTGAATTGAATCTTACAAATGTGAGACTTCTAAACAAGCAGGACTCACTCATCTGACGTGCTGTGAGAAAAATAAATGTATTGTCCACATGGGGTCCACTCACATATTCTATATACAACAGAGAAGGAGCACAGTGTACTTAAAACTGCAAAGTATACAACGGACCTCCACCTATAACTATTTGGCAGTGTGTTTAGGCATGCACTAGATCCAAAATGTAATACCAAGTGTAGACATCTAGTTTCAGCAATTACCAGAGTGCGCTAAAGTTCAGTGGTGGTAGAGCAACTCTAGTAATGAAGAACTGGTTTTTAACATACATTAGTGATTAAAATGTCTTAATCTTGAATCATAAAGACAAGGCAAAAACTATGTCTGATAAAACCACTCTAACAAGTTGATGCCTGCAGACAATAAGATAGACTACTAAAGACCAATTAGCAAATTAAGATATCTTTTCTGCAATCACAGTATCTTTTCTGGCAGTGGAGGAAGAAAATCTGGATTGAGCACATCCTGAAAAACTGAGTGCAATATGCCATTCCTTTCCTTGATTTACTGTATTTTCTTTTTTCACATCTCAGGAGACTTTAAAAATCACCTCACAGTTTGGTCTGGAGAAAAGAAAAAGAGTGAAAAGGATATATATAGTGCATTAAGGCTATTTTAAATTTGAACTTGGTGATTTCCTAAATAGTCGTGCTATATTAATTCAGCTGTGAAGCACGTACATAATCTCTGTTTATCACATCTTTACCACCATGCTTTCAAACAGCTACTACATTCCTCCAGCAGCTCACCTGGAAACAAAGTGGGAAATGAGGCTACGCTGCTAGGGTAGAAAATGCCTAGGAGCAACTTTGTCCAA